ATTCCCCAAGTGAAGTCACGGCTGCCCCCAACTCCATTTGTTGCTTTTATTTGTTTCTCTCTTGCGGCCGGCCCTACTCCCAAAAGCACTAGAGTCCTAATCAAACTTTGGCTTTTTTCTCTCCCGCTGAGCTGCCAAAGTAAGTTTCCTTTCTATGCTAAACTTCTGGACTTGTGAAGACCTGAGTTGACACGACCCCGCCAGACATCACTTGGAATGCGAGATTTTCACTCATTTTATTATATTTTGCTCCTAGTCCCTATGATAAGTACAAATGCCAAAAATGAATAGAATCTGACAATTAATCCACATTGGATCAGGTAATAGGGGAAATTAATAATAAAATAAATAATAAAATTACACCCTATCAGTCACATGTATGTTTATTATCTACTCGTAACTTGGCATTTGCGAGATTACTTGCTCAAATAATTAAATTGCGAGCACAATTTCCAGATTTTTCAATAAAGAAAATTCGTCTAGATAATGCTGGTGAATATTCGTCGCATGCTTTTGACGATTATTGTATGTCCATTGGAATAACTGTTGAATATCCTGTAGCCTATGTTCACACACAAAATGGTTTAGCCGAATCACTTATTAAACGGCTACAATTAATTGCTAGACCATTGTTGATGAGGTCTAAGCTTCCTTCATCTGCTTGGGGACATGCTATTTTACATGCAGCAACACATGTGAGAATTAGGCCGACAAATTATCACACTTATTCTCCTCTACAATTAATTTTTGGTTATGAGCCAAATATTTCTCATTTACGAATATTTGGTTGTGCGGTCTATATCCCAATTGCACCGCCCCAACGTCGTAAATTGGGCCCACAAAGAAGATTGGGGATATATGTCGGATATGAATCACCTTCAATCATTAAGTATATGGAACCATTAACAGGTGATTTATTTACTGCGAGATTTGCAGATTGTCATTTTGACGAATCACATTTTCCGACATTAGGGGGAGATAAAAATCAACCGAAAAAGGAAATCACTTGGAAAATATCATTGAATTTCCTTGATTCTCGTACTAAAGAATGTGAATTAGAAGTTCAAAGGATTATACATTTACAAAAAATTGCAAATCAATTACCGGATGCATTTAATGACTCCAAAAGAGTTACTAAATCACATATTCCTGCTGAAAATGCTCTGATTAAAATTGATGTCCCTGAAGGACAAATCACAAGTGCTAATGAGTCTAAAGCACGCCTGAAGCGTGGGAGACCTCTTGGTTCCAAAGATTTCATTCTCTTCAAGAATTGGCTCTTTAGGAGCGACCTCTTCAGGAGGTTGAATTTTGTCACTTCAAGAAAAAGTTGGAACCGAAAAGAAATAATTATTGATAATATTTTCGCATATAATATAGCACTTGATATTATGGCAGAGGACGAGGATCATGAACCTAGATCGGTTGATGAATGTCGAGGTAGAAATGATTGGCCAAAATGGAAAGATGCGATCCAATCTGAATTGGACTCACTGGCTAAAAGAAAAGTTTTTGGACCTGTAGTCCAAACACCTGAAGGTGTAAAGCCAGTAGGATATAAATGGGTATTTGTGAGAAAAAGAAATGAGAAAAATGAAATTGTGAGATATAGAGCAAGACTTGTAACCCAAGGATTTTCACAAAGGCCTGGATTTGATTATGATGAAACGTATTCACCTGTAGTGGATGCTATCACATTTAGATATCTTGTGAGTTTTGCAGTACATGAAAAATTAGATATGCGTCTAATGGACGTCGTTACTGCATATTTATATGGGAATCTTGAAAATGATATTTATATGAGAATTCCCGAAAGATTCAACATGCCTGAAGGATGCAAATCAAATCCTAAAATATTTATTCTATTAAATTACAAAGGTCTCTGTATGGGCTCAAACAATCTGGACGTATGTGGTATAACCGTTTCAATGAATGTCTGACAAAAGAAGGTTATACCAATGATCCAATATGTCCATGTGTTTTTATCAAGAAAAATGGATCAAATTTTGTGATAATTGCGGTATATGTTGATGATCTAAATTTAATTGGAACTCCTGAAGAGATTCAAAATAGTGTTGAATATTTAAAGAAAGAATTTGAGATCAAAGATTTTGGAAAGACAAAATTCTGCCTTGGTTTACAAATTGAGCATTTGAAAGGTGGAATTTTTGTCCACCAAACTGCTTATACCCGGAAGGTATTAAAGCGATTTTATATGGACAAAGCACATACATTGAGTACCCCAATGGTTGTCAGATCATTAGATCCTAATAAGGATCCTTTTAGACCACGAGAGGAAAATGAAGAGATACTTGGTCCTGAAGTACCATATCTTAGTGCAATTGATGCACTAATGTATCTTGCTAATTGTACAAAACCTGATATATCATTTGCAGTAAATTTATTAGCAAGATTTAGTTCCTCGCCCACAAGACGACATTGGAATGGTATTAAACATATTTTTCGCTACCTCCAAGGAACAATAGATCTTGGTTTATTTTATTCAAATAAGTCCAAACCTGAATTGGTTGGTTATGCTGATGCTGGGTATTTATCTGACCCGCATAAAGCAAGGTCTCAGACTTGTTATTTATTTACATATGGAGGCACAGCCATTTCTTGGCGATCTACAAAGCAATCACTAGCCGCCACTTCATCGAATCATGCTGAAATAATAGCAATTCATGAAGCCAGTCGAGAATGTGTTTGGTTAAGATCAATGACCCACTATATCCGGAAGAATTGTGGGTTATCCTCCGGAAAAGAAAATCCTCCAACTATATTATATATGAAGATAATGCAGCTTGTATAGCTCAATTGAAAGGAGGATATATTAAAGGAGATAGGACGAAACATATTTCACCAAAATTCTTTTTTACTCATGATTTGTAAAAGAATAGTGAAATTGATGTGCAACAAATCCGATCAGATAATAATCTGGCCGATTTATTTACCAAGGCATTACCAACTGCGACATTTGAGAAATTGGTAAAGAGTATTGGAATGCAACGATTAAAAGATCTCAAATGACGTTTGCATCAGGGGGAGAAATTATTACACAAGAATAGTGTACTCTTTTTCCTTCACTAGGGTTTTTGGTCCCACTGGGTTTTTCCCTAGTAAGGTTTTAACGAGGCATATTCTTTGTGTAATGGACATCCAAGGAGAAGTGTTATGAAATAACAAAAATGTGGATGTCCCTTTGTATTCCCAAGGGGATTAATTCATGATTTTATGGCTACTTATGTATAGAAGTTACAATTCATAAATCCATTCATGTAGTGGAGAAACCGTTTCATAGGTTTCTTCATATTATTGTAGTAATGGATGTTTAATAAGATTTATGTATCTTTAATCTTATAGTGCCTATATATAGAGGTACATTAAGACCCTTTGGGATGACTTTTGTATCTTGTTGAAATATAAGGATATCATTATCCCTTTCTCTACTCATTTCTCTAATACTTCTTCAATTTCTATTGTAGTATTTCATTTTATTAATTTTATAACATATTTATAGTTGTGTTACGTGGTGTACCGTGTGGAGGAGGATAGTCCCAAAAATGTCTGAAAAGCCTGTGGCACCATGGCCCATTATGGATCTTCTGTCTCATATCCTGTGTCACTTTCTGTCCCATTTTTTATTATATTGCTATTTCTCTTTCATAAATATTATGTTTTAATTCTTTTTTATTTTTTTAAGATCCAATAACTATTAATTGAGTAATACACAAAATTTAACAAACTCAAAAAATCAAAATGCATAAAAAATGAATTTTTTATGAATTTTCTACTGTATTTTTTAATTCTCTATTATATATTACTTTTTTGAACCTATTGTATTTATTTTTTACTTAATTAATAGTTATTGAATCTTAAGGAAACAAAAAAGAATTAAAACATGATGTTTATAAAGGAGAAATAGCAATATAATAAAAAGTGGGACAGAGAATGGGACAGAATATGGGACAGAAGATTGGTTGTGTATATTGCTTCGAGAAGGACCAACCAACATGAAAAGAACGCAGAAGGAGGAAGTCGCTGAAGCCAAAAATAGGGCTGTACTGGTAGAATATAGAGGACTAGTCTACTCTCTAGAGAATTTCACTTCATTGCATCTCAATAAAATTAATTAAAAATTACTTTTAGAAATCAATACTGTTAACAATATATTTCATTGGTTATGTTAGTTAGACAAAATCTAATGCGAAATAGATTAAATTTTGTCATCTAAATAATCATTATAAATTTTATCACAATTTTAGCCCATTCTTCACCGTTCAAATATTTAGTGTAAATTAAATCAAAAATACTTTTTTAATATAATAACACTTTTTAGTATATGTATCTAGAGCAAAAGAAAAATAATGATACAATTGGATGATTTTATATTATTATAATAATTTAGAGATAAATTAATGTGAAGAGAATCTCAAATGGAATATAGAGGGATCGGGGGTCGGGGCCCTCAAGGTTTCATAGTCTAATCCAATCTCAGGACAGTGACTCTTGACCTTAAAATCTCTAAGAAAAGTACCAGCCAAACTGCCAATGCCAACGACAAGAAGGGCAAACAGAGAGAAGTTTATTTGAAGTCGGGAGGGGGCGCTTTCATTAGGGAAGAAAGAAATAAACCCATATGATCATGCCTTCATCCGAGTAACCATGTATGTCTTACATCAACTTTGTCAATAGTACTCTAGATAAAAGTAACAAGCATATATAAAATTATTTGTATTGCTTGGGATGTAAAACACTTGTCTAGAATTCAAGAGTTGAAATACCTTAAAATAAAAGAATAACAAGATATAATAACGATAGATTTAGTTTGAGAATTTAAATTGCTAAAGCTGGTCTAAAACTTTCAAAATCACAGTTTCTGTAGATTCATTGTTTGTAACATTTCTTTTTTTTTTCTTTTTTTTGAACAATAATGTCTTATTAATAGCATTTGCAAATCCACGAACCCAACAAATGGGAGTACATGCATATTCAAACGACTACGGTCTAACCCTTCTAACCATAGGCATCCCCCAAGCATCCATTTGACAATCCCCTCTAACCAACAATGGAAGTAAAGCCAACGTCTCATACACCCTATCAGAGCCAGAGTCTGCTCCAACATTAGACAATCTGTCAGCCACCCTATTGACCTCTCTAAAACAATGAGTCACCGCATGTAAATGATGCCGGAATGCAATCAGCTCCTCAAACTCTCGTCGCAAAAACCAAGGAACCCTGAGCTCCCCTCGCACCATCCGGACCAAAAGCAAAGAATCAGACTCCACATGAATAGGAATAATGCCGCGTTGCACACACAGCTTCACCCCATATAGCATAGCTCTTAGTTCTGAATGCAAACTAGTCACATCGCCAGAAAAGCAAGAGAAAGCAAAGACAAAGCACCCCGCCGTATCCCGCAAAATACCACCCCCGCCAGATGTACCAGGATTACCCCTCGAACAACCATCAACATTCAATTTGGGAAGGGGAATAGGAGAAGTCCTCCATTTCACCCAACGTACCGTACTCGCTCTACGACACCTAGAAGCCAACCCAATAAGCTCCTCCCAAGACAACCTATGACCCGCCAGGCAAGGAAAGCGGGAAGAGAGAATATCTCGGAGCTCCCCCACAACCCTCAAATGAATGAGATGGGAGGAAATTCCCTTACCTTCAAAAACCCTCAAATTACGAGCCCTCCAAAGGTGCCAGCAAACCAAACAAGGAAGAAATTGGAAAATCAACCGCAAACAAGGATTAGATGTGGGATGAAGCCACCATACCGCCAGCGCATGCCGCACCGTGGAAACACAGGAACGCCCACCCACCCCACTTGTAAACGAATTCCAAACTCGTTTGGGCAAATCCCCATTGCAAAAAATATGATCTAAGGTCTCTTCCGCAGGAGCTTCACAGCAGGAGCACCGAGAGGGGCCATGCACCGCAAAACGGCGAAGCGTCTCCAAGACGGGGAGCCGTGCCGCAACCAACCTCAACATGAAAAAAGACACTTTAGAGGGAAGTAACGCATGCCAAATAGCCGCAGAAAAAGCCGACCTAATAGCAGGCTGCCGCACCAACTGATAAGCAGATGCAATGGAAAACACACCCGACTCGGTTAAATCCCAAACCATCTCATCTGGCCGCTGTGAGACAGGAGGAGAGATACCCAGAATGGATGACACAATAGCAGGAGGGAGCCAATGACGCAACATAGGAATATTCCAACGACCTTGGTCAACAAAGTTCGCCACAGAGTGAGTCCCAAAAATCTCAACCTTATCGCATAACGGACCAGATCCCATCCAATTCTCATGCCAAAAATCCACTGCTCCATTGCCCAAAACCCAGCGAACATGAGAATCCGCTAACGATTTGACGCCAACCAGCCTTCTCCAGATACCAGACTGCCCCCGAACCACATCTGCCTGACACGGGAGCCTGTCACTGAGATACTTAGCGTGCATGAAGGACGCCCATAAGGAGGTGTTACAGCGAAAAGACCACCAAAGCTTTAAAGAGAAAGCATCAAAAATCGACTGTAGCGATCGCAATCCAGCTCCTCCCTCCTCAACAGGCTTAGTCAGGGCTGCCCATTTAATCCAGTGAAACCGAGGGCCGAAATCCGAGTTACCCTATAAGAAGCTACTAAAGATTTGTTCCAATTGGCGGACTACCCCTTTAGGGACCATAGAAGCCGCCATAATATGAATAGGAATAGAGGAGAGAACACTTTTGATCAGAACCAGCTTACCACCAGACGACAACAATCTACCAGACCAGGATAACACACGCCTCGACACCAAATTGCAGAGCTCTGAGAAAAAGTACAGTTTCGCCCTCCCAACATACAACGGACACCCCAAGTACTTAATGGGAAACGACCTCTCCTGAAAACCTGTAACCCGAGCAATAGCCCGTTTACGCGCCAAAGGCAGTTTCCGATCAACAAGAAAGCAACTCTTGTGATAGTTCACCTGCTGGCTCGATATACTGCAATAGGCATCCAAAGTACGCAGGATTACTTGTAAAGAGGCCTTCAAACCGCTACAAAAAATGATGACATCATCTGCATACGCCAGATGGGTAATCGGCGGGCAACCCCTAGGAACTTTGAATGGAACAAACGCTCGAAGACCCAGTAAAGCATTTAATGACCTAGACAACACCTCTGCACCCACAACAAACAGTGCCGGTGAGATAGGATCGCCCTGCCGTAATCCCCTGGTCGACTTAAAAAACCCCTTGGGAGATCCATTAATGATCACCGAGAACCACACATTGGACACCAACCGCCAGATCATATCAATCCACCGTTCACCAAATCCAAATCGACGCAACACTTGCATTAAAAAAGGCCACGAAACCCTGTCATAGGCCTTAGCTATGTCAAGTTTGAGAACAACATTACCTCCTCGACAAGGCCTCTGAATGCCAGAAATTAACTCCTGAGCTAATAAAAAATTATCGGCCATTTGCCGACCTTGAACAAAACCACTTTGGTTAGGAGAGATAATAACCGGCAACAGCTTAGCTAGTCTCCTCGCCAGTAATTTAGAAATAATTTTATTCACAAAGGAGCACAAACTAATTGGGCGAAACTGCGAAAAATCCTGAGGAGAGCTAACTTTGGGGACAAGAACAATTGATGTGGCGGCAATACTTTTCGGCAACTCAGCTCCACCAAAAAAACGATAAACAGCTGCAAAAACATCCTCAGCAACAATCTCCCAAGCAACCACAAAAAACTTCCCGGAGAACCCATCAGGACCAGCCGCACTATCCGCATCCATGGAGAAAACGACTTCCTTAACTTCCTCTAGAGAAGGGAATCGTTCTAATTCATCATTGTCCCGCTCCGTCACCACTTTGGGGATCACATCTAACCCATGAAAATTATTCGTACCCGACTGATTCGAAAACAAGCCCTGAAAAAAACTAACAGCCTCTCTCCCAATATCCTCTTCACTGCAAAGCCAATCCCCGCCAGAAGATTTAATACGATGAATAACGGATTTACTCCTACGTTCAGCCACCGTTGCATGAAAAATTTTTGAATTTTTATCCCCATCCGCTAACCATCTGATTCTCGCCTTCTGCCGCCAAAACGAATCCTCATTTGCCTGCGCTTGAATCAGCCTAGCCCGCCGCTCACTTAAACAAATTCGATGCTGAACCGAAGGGTCCTCATCAAAACAGTTTTCCGCCTGTATCACCTCCTGCTCTGCCACCTTAACCATCTCAAAAATATCTCCAAATTCATGCTTAGACCATTCCCGCAGCACTTTCTTCAACTTTCGCAGCTTAGCTGCCAGGACATATAGAGGGTCACCCATAAAATCCACCTGCCAATTATGCCGAATGACCTCCAGGAAACTCTGATGAGACGTCCAACAATTCAAAAACCGAAAAGGCTTGGGCGAGTTATCCAAACGAGAAGACGCCGCCATCAATAAAGGTGCATGATCAGAAGGAGCCCTACCCAAGTGCAGGACCTCGTACATAATCCCCAAATCCAAAGCAAGTTGATCATATAGCAACCTGTCTAACCTTTTCCAAATACGAGCCTGACCCTGTCTATTATTACACCATGTAAATCTGGACCCCGAAAAACCCGCATCCAACAAGCCAGCAGAGGACATAAACGTCAACAAATCACCCCCCTCCCAATTTCTAAATGGACGACCCCCTCTCTTTTCATCATCTGCCACAATCACATTAAAGTCACCCACCACAAACCATGGAAGTGAAACAGATCTATCCTCTAGCAACCCAGCCCAAAGCGATGCACGGTCCACCACCGTCCATTTAGCATGGGCAAAGGAAAATATAACGGGAGCCACAAATAAAGTAGACTGAATTTGAACCGACACATGCTGATCCGACTCCCCCACTACATTACAAGAAACTGATCTATCGTAGAAAACCCATACCGAACCACAACTATTAACTATAACCGAGTCCATACTAAGCTTCAACTTAATAGAGTTTACATTAGATGGGGTAGGAGCCAGTTTCGGCTCACACACAGCAACCACCGGAATGTTGTACTGACGAATTAAATGTTTTAACCTACGTAAATTAGGGGCGTGAGACACCCCACGAATATTCCAAAAAAGGTAATTAATCATCAGATAGTGCAGAAAAAGAGTTAGAGGAAACTTTACTCTTAGAGCGCAACTGACGGTCAGACGGAAACATAGCACGCACACCCTTGTGCTTCCGATGAGAAACCAACTGGAAGTTCTCCTCATGCTGCAAATCTGTTTGGACCTTTTGAATGATCGGGTCCAAGTTGAATATATCCACAACCAGGGACCCATGTAGAGGTTGAATGTGGTCGGAGCTTTGCCGAGGAGACAAACTCCCTCCTACAACTTCCGCTTGCCTAACCTACACCTCGTCTATCACCTCATGCAGCTCAAATTTCTGCAGGTCACCAGCCCTGTCATCAGCCAATGGAACCTTTAGCATAGCCGACTCAGCAGCCTGCTCCTCCATCACCCCACCTGCTGGAACATCCACTGACACACTAGCACCAAGGCAAGGCTCCGCCCCAATCACCAAAGGAGTCAGACCAGCCCCCGACTGTTGCACAGGAGAGTCCGCAGCTCCCCTGACCAATTGCGAGACTCCCATACCAGCCGTCCCCACAAGTTGCTCATCAGGCTCCAGGGGAAGAGAGCTAGATGGGAAATCCCCCGCCACTTTAGAACCCACACCTGGTGAATTCCCCCCAAGGGCAGGATCCAAAGGACGATCCTCCATGGTGGAGTTCTTCTTTGGACGGAACTGCAACTGCACAGGCCGCTTCTCTGCACCAGACTTGACCACATCAGGAGGCCTTTGTTTTAGAGCTGGGTTCAGAACATGACACTCAGCTTGAGTATGTCCCTGCTGAAAGCAATGGCAGCAGTACTTGGGGAGGATTTCTGGGATTAACGTTTGCCAAAACCCATCACAGTCACCATTACCAATCCACACTCGCGGAGGCAGCGGTTTGAGCAAATCAATCTCTACACACACTCTTGCAACACTTGGGCGAGACCCAGCCATAGTAGCAGCATCCATAAAAAGGGGAATCCCCAGGACACTCACAATCTGAAAGAGGCAATCTTTGTGGAAGTAATGCAAAGGCAGTTTAGGAAGTTGGAACCACACCGGTACCACCGAAGGCTCCTTGTCCACATGGAAGGATAGTGCCCACTTAAAAACCCTCATAGGAGACCCAGAAACATACCAGATCCCTCTAGACCACATTCTATGAAAGTCAGCTTCGTTTCCCATCTTGAGCAGAACATGCCTGGAATCTAGCAGACCAACAGAGGCCATCTCCTTCAAGTCTAGCGTTTTTATGAATTTTCGTAAGTTCTCCATGGACGGACGTCCCTTGGAGAATTTCCCCACCAAAGCAAATTTATATGGAAGTGCAAGGGAGGTGAGATCTGCTTGAGAGAAAACCACAGCCGGTTCCCCTCGATGAGTCGTCTGCGATGCTCTAAGAGTTGCAAAAAGAAAAGGGAAAACTGAAAAGAAAAAAAAATCTGCAATAGGGTATTTAAGAGACCTGCTCTACCCCGCGCTGAGGAGAAAAACCGAAAACTAATAGACAAACAAGGGTTGAATGTACCCCTCTACCATATCTGTACAAATAGAATAGCCGATTTATACAGAATGGTAAAAGGGACTTCTATGATCGGTGATCATAGAATAGAAATCAAGGGTTAATCCTTACCAACTTATTTTCCTTCTCAATATACATAATCTAACTGTGATGGATGTAAATAAAGGTGTCAAAATAAGTGATTTGGGCAAGTTTAAGAGTGTCTCATAATTGGGTTATAGATATAATTAAGTCAACCTATTTATACCTATTTAATAAATAGGTATGGGTATAGCCAATTACCCATTTATGAGTCGATCAAAATTCTACTTATTTTTTTATTTTGCACATGTTGTTTAACAAGAAATAATAATATTTTATTATTATTAGATTGGTAAGAAATTCAAATTTATTTTCTTAACACTTACTAAAAGTTGAATTTAAATATATAATTTTTTTAAAATTGGTGAATCGAGTCAACTCACTATCTATCAATTAAATAAGTTTTGCTGGATACCCATTTAGGTCCATTTAAAATTAATGGACAGATTTGGATGAATTATTGATAGACGAATTTAGATGAATAAATATAATTGGATTGTTATTGACACCAGTAAACGTAGATACATACATATTCCATACGCACCTTTTGTGGTTAGAATGAGTACACATGACTGCCAGCCGATCAAATGATTAATAGTTGTGTTGATGTATAATGAGAAAGAACGAAGTCGGTTTTAGAATTTCTCATGTATCGTCCAAGACTTGCGTATCATTGGAGAGGGGCAGTATAATTGAGCCTATTGTACAATCGATAGAGTTATTGTACTTTTTTTTAAAAGGTGTCGTACATTTACAATCGTAATTGTATTAAATTATTAAATTTGTGTACAAGAACGTAAATTAAATGTATAACAAAAAAAATATAAATATACACTAAATCATGTGAAATGTATTACAACCGTGCAATTGTACGAAAATCTGAATTGTACTGGCCCTTCTTCCCCATCATTAAGCAATTGCCAGCTACTATGCCCTGTTTATTTTTTTTTTTCAGATATTTAGAAATAAGTAGTTAAACCTAACTCCCAAGTTAACCTCAAAAGTCACGGTGGTTACTATGCCCTGTTGAGTCGTTTTTTTTTTTTTTTGTCCTATGTAGGTAAGAGTTTCTTCTCCTCCGTCTTGCTCCCTGTTAACTCTCCTCTAGATTTATAAAAGAGAAATTTGCCAAATTGGTTCCTAACATTTGCCAAAAACACTTTTTTAGTCCCTAATATATAAAATCAGCCAAAATGATCCTTCACATTTTAATTATGAGCCAATTTGGTCCTATTGCTTGTTTTTGCTTATTTCTCCGGCTAAAAATAGCACGCCCCCCTCACGTGGTCATATTTTTAGGGGCAAAATCGGAAAACACATTTCATTACCGGTTGAAGGCAAAAGGATAGGGGACCACCAGCAAAATACACATTTCACCTTTGGCCCTCAAATTACAGTTTGAAGAAACCCTAATTGCATCCCCAAATTAACAAGCATAACTTGGAAATGTACTGCCGATGATGACGACGACAAACCTGTAAGGTGTGATTGAGAAACGATTGAAGGTTTGGCCAGAAAATCGTGAAGAAAATCTTCGAAAAGATGCAGAATGAATCGGGAAAATGGGACTTCACAAAGGGTTACGGTAAGTTTTTTTTTTTACCAATGTGGTTAGCAATTGTTGACGAATCTTGCTTAGGACTGTATTTTATGTTAATTAATTGAAGATTGTTCATTATTTTACTTAGTTTTGCTGTGGTCCCCAATTTTTATTTAGTTTTACTGTGGTCCCCATTTTTATTATGAAAGCCTCCACCTTTCTGTCTTGGTCCAAAGTAATTGTCATTTTAATGGCTGACAGGGGCCAATGAGATGCATTTTTCTATTCGTATACACTTTGGAGGTGAACTTAGAGATACAGGAAATAGAGACTATGTAGGAGGTTCGGTTGACATAGTCGATGATTGTAATCCAGAAAAATGGTCTCTGTGTAAGTTGGACGAAATAGCTAATAAACTTGGATTTGAGCCTTATACAGTGGGTTACTACTACCTGATTCCTGGTAGGAATATGGCAGATGGATTAGTGTATATGTTGCAAGAGGATGATGCTGCTGAATTGGCTAAATTAGGGAGTATGTATGGGTTAGTTGATGTGTTCTTCATTCATCGAAGAACATATAATTTGCCTCATTTTGCTGTTGATGATGAAGGAAGAAGGCATGATAGTAACAGAAATAATGAAGAATCTGTACGTGTGGCCACACCAGAGAATGGTCAAGAAGAATCTGTACATGTGCCCACACCAACACCAGCTACTGATGGTGGTTTTCAAGACTCTAACATGGATGGAGGAACTCCTTCATGTGCTGGTAAGAGGATGAAATAGATTGCGAAGAAGAGAACTTCACCTGCAAAAAGATTGAAAATGCAGTAGAGGAGAAAGAATGTTGGCCATCAAGATGTTACTGCTCAGAGTGGTGTTAGTGGCAGGAGTGGATCATACCAAAGTGCATCTCATGCTGCTGAACATGAGAGTGGAGAAACTACAAAAAGTCATGCTGTTGATGATAAAACTCTTGATGCTGCTGAATATGAGACTGCTGAGGCTGTAGAAACTGATGTAGGTGAACATGCAACTGATGGAGTTACAAAAATTGATGGTAATGAAAATGAAAGACATGGCAGAAGCAGACAAGGAAGAAGAGCACGAACTAAGTCAAGGAAGACATCAAATAGAAAGGCTGAAGGTAAAAAGTCATTCAAAAAAAATAAAGAGCAGATCATAGAGGATATTGTCTCAAGTGATCCTGAGAGTTTGTATGATAGCGAATATGCTATAAGTGATGAGGAAGAGCTAATGAAATCTATTAGTGAAATGCCTCCAGATTGGACTAATGTTGCTAAACAGTTCAAGACAGCAAAAAAAGGTAAAGAAAAGGTACAGGAAACTGCTGTTAATGAAGAAGATAATGAATGCAGCATGGAGGAGTCAGATAATTCATCACATGATGGGCTGCACAGCAATGAGAGTTCTGAAGATGAAGGAGGGATTAAGGATGTGGACAAAAAGAAGTTTAGAGTATTCAATCCTGCAACAAAGATGGATGACCCAAAGTTTGAACTTGGGTTATTATTTAAGTGTAAGGCTGACTTTATCAATGCTGCAAAATCACATGGAGTGAAGTATGGAAGAAAAATCAGGTTTAAGAAAAATGATTCAAACAGATGCAAAGCCATATGTAGAGGCAAGAGATGCATGTGGAACATATATTGCTCAGTTAGGAGTGATAAAGTGACATTCCAAATCAAAAGCATGTTG